CAAAAACCCAGAGGCAGCAATAAAGACTGGTGGGTTCTGACTCGGGGCTGCGCTTTAGGGGGGACTGGGTGATCCCCAGAAACAGCCTCGGGAGTCAGAAGCGACGGCGTGTTCGCTCAGGTCTGTCGGCCAAGCTGACCGGAGGGCGCAGGGCTGGCTGGAGCGGGTCTCAGTGTCTCCCTAGCGTCCAGGTCGATGACTTAGAGCAGTGGTTCTCAACCTTCCCAATGCCGCGACCCTTTAATACAGTTCCTCATGTTGTGGTGACCCCCAATTTCATTGTTACAAATTGAACATAATGAAAGCATAGTGATTAATCACAAAAACAATATGTAATTATATATGTGTTTTCCGAGGGTCTTAGGCGACCCCTGTGAAAGGGTCGTTCGGCCCCCAAAGGGGTGTCCACCCCTAGTTTGAGAACCGCTGGCCTAGTGTTCCCCACAGACATGTACTTCTGTGTTCCTGAAAAATACAGGCTCTGTGTTCCAAATCCCACCAGGACCCCTCTTGGGGTGGTATTCAAACAGTTCAAAAGCTCATATTCTCTCCCCTTCGTTTTTGAGTTGCAGAGAATTGGCTACTCTGATTTACATTTTAAATCAGTGACTAGGGAAAATATAACTGGTAACAACTGCTAAATCCGTAACAGACTGTCAGACTGTTTTTAAGAGTTTTACATGAGCCCGGCTGGGGTGGCTCAGTGTTTGAGCGTTGACCTTTGAACCAGGAGGTCATGGTTCGACTCCCTTGAGCATTGACCTTTGAACCAGGAGGTCATGGTTCAACTCCATTGGTCAGGACACATCCCCAGTGGGGGGTGTGCAGGAGGCAGCTCATCATTTCCATTTGGTTATTTTATATTTTTTATTGTGGTGTTCTGGAACCAAATTTTAAATATCTCTGAGCTCCATTTTCTTCTTTTTCAAATCTGTGTAGGCAAAAGGGTTTTTTGTTGTTGTTGTTTGTTGTTGTTGTTTGTTGTGTTTTTTTTTACATCTGTTACAGTTAGTCACTGAAAGTCTTTAATTGCCTTTTTACTCATTTTGTTTCCACTGTCTGTTGCTCTTGTTCTTGCCATGGTTTCCTGTTCCGTGGTGTATTTGGTTTAGTTTGGTTGTGATTTGATATTGTATCACTGGAGATTTCTTAAGGCCTAAAACAAAGCTTTTTCCTTCAGGGCGGATTTGTATTTGCCTTTACCAGGTGGCTCAAGGGCTCAGAACCAGTGTGGGGTATCCCTAAACTAAATTCTCAGCCTGGGTGAATCCCTGTGGTATTAACGCCAGAAACAGGTCAGCTGGGCTTTTAGTCCAAATCCTCAGTGTGAAACCTGCCCTGCTGGGCCCCAGGGTTCAGGGCAGACTCTTCCTTGCAATCATCAGCATGTGTGTGTTTATTTCTAGTTCCTCCTTCCACCTCCAGGATGTAGCTTTTGCTCTGGTGCCCAGCTTCACCAAGAAAGATTTCGTATCAGGCTCCCCATCATGGAGAGGCGTCACAAAACCCCCTAAAAGCAAAGCTCAACTTTGGTTAAAAGCCCGCTGGGGTGTTTAGGGTGCTCGGGGTGTCACAGGGGTCAGGCCCCTGGGCTGGAGAGGTCCTCACTTTCTTGGTGGCTCTCTGCGTTGCTTTTAAAAATATTAAAAACATTATTCTGGATTTTAATTGCACCCACTTGCCATTGTGTGGAAGGGGGGAAATTCTCCTTTCCCTCCTCTGGTTCTTTTGCTTCACAAATAATCTTATCAACAGAAAATAGGTTAACACGAGAAATTCACATTTAATCTTGTGCACACGGGGACCCCACACACGTAAGTCAGACACCGGCATCTGTGAGAGGTTTGGAGATAGAATGGGCAGCAGGTATACAACACGTTCTGAGCTAGGGATGGTGTCTTGCACTTTGAGGGCTTCAAAGGGTTGGTTATTGCAACATAAGAGCAGGTAAATAGAAGTTCGTCCTGCCCTTCAGACAAGCCAAACAGGTTCTTCCTGAAACTCTTATGGGCAATGTCCCTAATTCAAGTTGCCCGTAGTTGAGGGGTAGAACCTTCTCTTGTGCCCAAGGCGAAAACTGCCTTTCGCCCAAAATAACCTGCTTGCCAGGCTTTGAAGACGCCTCCGAGCCTGGTCCCACCTCCTCTCCCTGTGCCCTGGGGATGCAGCACAGGCTAAGCCCTCTCCCTCCCCCACCGCTGCTCAGAGCCTCAAGCAGAAATTGAACTGCACAGCAACCAAACCAGAAAAACCTCTATACTTCGTGAAAACATTGTTTTCAACCTTTTCTCAGCAATAGTTTGCTTTTTTTTTTTTTTTTTGGAGAAAAACTCTAAAGAGAACTTGTCACAAAAAATTGCACTGTGCTTTCATGAGGGGTTCAAGTCCCTGACCAATTCGGAGATCTGCACACGGAAATGGGAGCTGTACATTTGCAATCACTTCCAGGACAAATTAGTGTTTACTTATGAACTGCGCTTCTCTCCCATCTATACAACTGGTGGTAGCTATTACTGCTGGATAACTCCCAAGTATTCCCTACACCTCACTAATAAAATGATGATGCAGCTTTCAACTCAGAGAAACCAGATAATAGATTCTGAGCGAATGAATGGATTACAACTCATTTGTTGAAAGAATGCGTGGCTCTGAAAAGAGCCTTTGGGGTCAGGAGTCAGGCCGCTTACTTGCGCGTCTACTTGGAGCTGGTGTACTTGGTGACGGCCTTGGTGCCCTCGGACACGGCGTGCTTGGCCAGCTCGCCGGGCAGCAGCAGGCGCACGGCCGTCTGGATCTCGCGGGACGTGATGGTCGAGCGCTTGTTGTAATGCGCCAGGCGCGACGCCTCGCCCGCGATGCGCTCGAAGATGTCGTTGACGAACGAGTTCATGATGCCCATGGCCTTGGACGAGATGCCGGTGTCGGGGTGCACCTGCTTGAGCACCTTGTACACGTACACCGAGTAGCTCTCCTTGCGGCTGCGCTTGCGCTTCTTGCCGTCCTTCTTCTGCGCCTTGGTCACCGCCTTCTTGGAGCCCTTCTTCGGGGCGGGCGCCGACTTGGCGGGCTCGGGCATAACGGCGATGGGTGTCCCACTGTCGCTGACACTGGAGGAAATAATGACCCCTCAACAGTGGCGCGATTATTTATAGACGATGTATTCAAATGAGGCTAGTTAGATTTCGATCCTGATTGGAGGATTCATAGGCTGTCGTCACAAATGAGCATGTAAATAAACTTTTCATTGTACCTTTTCATTGGCTATTTGATTACTTCGCTGGGCCCAATCAGATGGCTTAGACTATGTTACCCAGAGCTCCCAGAGCCCTCGGCTAGCACTGTGCTGTGTACTTCAGATCCTGTGAAACTTCGCGACAACGCACCAGCTGCAGGGTTGTGGGCGGAGGCCATCTGCTGGCCGGTGCACCTCCAGACACCGATTGTGGGGCCCGCGCCAGTGGACACCTAGCGGCCGAGCTCATGTCCTGGACGCAGGAGCTGGCGCAGACTGTGGCTGACAAACGCAGTAGCGCGCGCCCGCGGCACTTAACCAAACCACCAGGCTCGGCAACGTGCTGTGCGACACTGGTATCTAGCATCCCCAATTCTATCAAAGCTCTAATGTTTGGCCCTAGCCGGCGTCTTCGGTGGATAGCGCGTGGGCCTATGGACCCAAGGGTCCCGGGTTCGAATACGGTCAACGGCAGATAACCTAGGTTGCAGGCTCCTTCCCAGCACGGGCCCTGGTCGGGGCACAAGGAGGCAACCAATCGACGTGTTCCTCTCACATTGTTTTTTTCCTCTCCCACTCCCCACCGCCCCCCCCCAAAAAAATAAAAAATCCTGTAGTATTTACTTAGGTGAATCTTCCCCTTCATAACCGCCCAGATGTCCTAAGGTTAAATACGTTTTAGGAACTTGTGCGCCTGTAGAGGTCGCCAAATACCCCTAGTGCTGGAAATGCCACACTTCCGCCAGTGTCTGTGGGCCGATTTAGAAACTAAGTTGCCTGGAAGGACGCAGTATAGTTCCGGGGCCCTGCAGATCAAATAGACAAACCAGAACTAGGTCCAAAGCAACTTCCAGTCCTACTAAACCCAACCACTGCTAGCCAGTGCCAAGTACCGAGTCCGGATATCCCTCCATCCCCGGAACCTC